TCATTCTTCTTGATGACTGGATAATACTCCAATGTGTATGTATACTCCTTTTTCTTTATTTGTTTTTCTTTTGATGGACCCCTAGGCTGATTCCATATCTTAGCTATTGTGAATAGCACCACAATAACATGAGCATGAAGGTATGTTTTGGTTTGCTGATTTCATTTTCCTTTGGATATATACCCAGATGTAGGATAACTGGGTCATGTGATAAATATATTATTAGTTTTATAAGTAATCTCCACACTGTTTTCCACAGTGGTTATACTAACTCACATTTCCTCATACAGTGTATAAATATTCATTTTTCTTCACATCTTTGCCAGCCCCTTTTGTTTTTTTGTTTTTGTTTTTATAATAGCCATTTTAACAAGGGTGAGATGGTATCTTCTTGTAGTTTTGATTCGCATTTCCCTGATGCGCATTGCCCACCTTTCTTGGCCATAAGAGATGTTCCTATTCATATTATTTACCCATTTTTAAATTATATTACTCATTTTAATCGTTTTTTTAAAGTTTCTTCTCTATTCTTGATATTAATCCTTTGTCAGATGGACAGTAGCAAATATTTTCTCCCATTCTGTAGGTTTTCTAATGTATTTGATTGTATCTTTTACAGTACGATTTTTAGGTTGATTATCTATTTATGCTTTTATCTATTTATGCTTTTTCTATTTATCTATTTATGCTTTTTCCCTATACTTTTGGGGTTATATTCAAAAACTCACTCCCTATACCAGTGTCTATAAAAATCATTGCCAATCCCAATGTACTTTCAGGTCCTATATTAAGTTGGAGTTGATTTCCATGAAGGATGAGAGAGAAGGATCAAGTTTCAATTTCCATCTAGACCTCCAGTTTTCCCATCACCATTTGATGATAAGGCGGTTCTTTCTCAATGTGTGTTTTTGGCACCTTCATTGAGAATCAGTTGTTTGGAGATGTGTGGGTTTATGTCTGGAATCTCTGTTCTGTTCCACTCATTTGTATATCTGTTTTTATGCTAGCTCCATGATGTTTGGCTACTGTGCCTCTGTAATATGCCTTGAAATTTTGTATTGTGGTGCCTTTGGCTTTGCTTTTTTTGTTCTAGATTACTTTGTCTACAGCAAAATTAAAAGACTATTGTCTTTACTCTTTGTAATAAGTGATGTTTGTGTACACTGTTTTCAACTACAACTTGAACCCAAGAATGTTTATCTTCAATCCTAGAAAGAAGTTATTTTAGATGTTACTAGGAAGGATAGGAAGTGTTACTGCCAAAAATACAAAATAAGTTTATCCAAATGTCTCACAGTGCTTTGTGTGAATCTTTCTCATGAGCTTTTTATAATTCTTTGGGTGTGTCATCTCTTTTTTTCTTCTTAAAATTTTATTTTCTGTTAATTCCCCAAATCCATGGTTTGATGTAAGGACAAAGCTCCACTATCCTGTAGGAAGGAAGGTTCTRGAATCCCCCCTCAAATGAGACTTGTTTTCTTTTTTCCTCTTTTCTATTTCCCAAATCTTTGGCCTGCTTTTTCAACAACAACAACAACAAACCTTTTCTTTTGCTTGTTAAAACAGTTTTTTATGGCTTACTGATCCTGGGAGCAATCATCCCTCATGCCTAGATGAGACTGGTAGTGCTGGAGCCCTTGGATGCCTATAGCTGAAAGTATTCTGAGAGTGATACTGTCAGCCATGCCTTATTCCACAAGTGAGGAAGCAAGACACAGCAGTATTGGCAGGATCCAGAGCAGCAGTCCACACTCATGGGTCCTATTTGGGTGCCCTCCCTAACTCACAGAAGGGAGTGGCAAGTCCTCTGATCCTGTGGCTGCTGTGCTGCAGCAAAGAAACACACTCAGAATGATGTCTTCTGGGGCTTGAAGGAACAGATCTTACCTTGTAGCAGATGAAGCTGAGAAATGGACACTGAAGTCTTCCTGCCCTACACTGCACAGCTACAGAGAGGGTGAAATGTGCAAGATATTCTGTGTGCTAATAAGCTCCAAGGCCTCTTCATAAGCTTGCTTTTGCTTCAGAAGCACATCTCCAGGGCATACAGTATAATTAGTAACCAAAACAGCACAATAGAAGCCTGTTTTATAATCAAGGAAACTGAGGCTAACAGTCAGGTGTTCTGAAGTCCCTCCTGATTAACCTAGTGACCTTGAGAAAGGGGCTTACTCTCCATCTTGGGGAGACCAGTTCCACCCAATTCAACAAATATGTACTGAATTGTGTTTTTAGTAAAAGGGAACTCATGGACCAAAGTATATATGCCCCCATCCTGAAAACACACTCTCTGGTATAGAATTCTTATCCATTATCATTTACTGCACAACAAACTACCCCAGAACTTACTGGCTCAAAACAATGTTTATTTATCTCATAATTCTATAAGCAATGTTTCTTTATCTCATAATTCTAGTTCAGCTTGACAGTTCTGGTTTGGTCCAGATGCAACTGGTCATGGATAAGTTCACATTGTCTGAAACTGCCAGTGAGTGAGCTGGGAGCTCTGGGGTGACTAGGCAGGTAGCTCATCAGGTGAATCCAGCCTTGTGCACATGGCAGGAGAGTTCCAGGAATAATAAATAGGCAAACCCTAATTTATAGATGCATTTCTAACCTGTTTCTGTCACATTTGCCAAAATCCTGTGAGCCAATACCAATCTGAAGGCCAGTCCCAAATCAAAGGATGGATAAACACTCCTGTTCTCAATAGGAGAAGCTACAAAGTCCCACTGCAAGGACATGGATACATACAGGGAAAGAAATTGTGCAATTTACCCTGGTGATCCTTAAACTCTTTAGGTGTTATGGTACATTTAGTGAATTTGATGAAATCTATAGGTCATCTTTCTAGAAAAACATACGAACAATTTGCTTTTAGGATCAGTGATTCTCAGAATCCCTATATGGCTCATCAGTGGACTCCCTGGGGTCCTTTATCAAATGAAAAATAGACTTTGCCACATTTCAAAAAACACTGGTGTGAATTGTGCTGGAGACTCATTTTTTTTAATTCATTGGGGGAATAGCAGGCCCTAAGAGAAGGTAAAGGTGTAGTAGCTTCCATGCCAAATGGGCAGAGTTTACCAATAGAATGCTGTGTTTGCTAGTTCTCTGAATGAAATTTATCAGTCACTGATGATCCTGGATTAAGAGATTTGCCTTCATACCTCCTAGAGAAAATATGATAGACTTTTAAATCCCTATCAGCTGGTTTGCAGTTTTCTAAGAGGAAAGGTCTCTGTTTGCCTCAACTTTTATTACAAAGGCAACATTAAGTAAAGGTAAACATTTACCCAACAACTTTACAGCAAAATAATTTGGGAGAAGGGAGAAGGGACAAGGAACATAATTTAAAATCCATGTCACCAGTGGCTGATGATTCATTGCAACCCCAGCCTCCGCGACTGCTATTTCATTAATCCGTAGTCATTGTAGCAGCATGCTTTTTTCACATCAGTAACTTGACCCATTAGTCGCTCCTCTGGGACGAGAACACATTTAAAATGAAAATGAACACACTGGGCATAATTTGTAGCCATGCCATATGAATGCCAAGAGTGCAGGGGAGGAAGGCTGCCCGGGAAGCCTGCTGGATGCTTAGGACCTGCTTCCCCTAGTCAGGCAGTTGGGAGGGCCACAGAGCCTGGGGGAGCCAGACAGCCACAAACCACAGAGGCCCTTCAGTCAGACATCACTGCAAGGGATGAAAGAAATTCTGTACGTGGGGGCCTGTCCCTGAATTATGTCTTGAAAATTCTTTTCTGGTCCAACTGGGGGTTTATGTTCCGCTCCCTCAGAGTAACCCACTGGGATTCTGAAAGGAGAAGATTCTGGGCATTGTCTGGGGAGCACCATGAAATCCTCATGACAAGCAATCAATGGAGGAAGCTTCGGGAAGATACTGGAGCCCTCCATTTCCCTGAGGTCTGTAAGAGAACAAAATGATTAAAGGAAAGAATCAGCAACACCCCCAAATTGGGCTTTTCCTTAAATGTTTTGAGCTTTTTAAATATCAAATACTGTTGGCTCCCTGTCAATATATTCAAAACCTACCAAACTATACTGAAAAACTGATGCTTTGTGTTTGAGTTTGGATCTGGAATGTCCCCCAAAGTATCATGTGTTGAAGGTTTGGTCTCCAGTGCAGCAGTGTTCAGATGTGGGGCTCTTGGGAAGAAATTTGATCATGAGGGCTCTGCTGGCCCACCTGCTGCTCTTGGGAGGAGGCAGTGAGCATCACCTGCCTTTCCAAAACCATTTTTTTGGAAACACACATTTGCTTGTGTGGATGAAAGTCTCTCTGTTCTGTTCCAGTGGCCTTACCAGAATCATCATGTAAGACAGTTAACATTTATTCGTATGCAATACTGGTTAGGAACCAGCCGTAAAACACAACTTACTTGCAAACAGCAAGTCAGAAATAGGATAAAACACCAAGAGAAAAATGAGCCATGAGTACATTTCAAAAACGCGTGGAATTTTCTCTTCTGTGGGTTTTGTTGTTTGCGTCTTGACTAGCACCATCTGTACAAGAGAAGAGTATGAACACAAATGTTTGGGTAATCATAAAGATTTGCAAGGCACTTAATCCGTCATCCTGGGTCAYCTTGTCATGGGTGTTTTGTTTTTGCTTTCCACAGAAATCCTCCGTCCACCCTCCCACTCACAAAAGTATGAAAAGAGAGAGGTCTCTTTGCCAGCAGTTCTTATGTATAAACAAGTTAAGATCCTCAAAGTGCTTTTATTTCAGTCTCATGGGTCTCTGACATCCCTTGGGCTTCCTATCATTCTCTCCTTCCACGGGTCCGGGGTTTGCACCTTCCCTGCTTCAGAAAACAAAAGAAAACTCACTTTCTGCTCAAGGCTCCCTCCAGACTTGCCATCAACCTTCATCCTCATTCTATAGTCTTTGGGGTGCCGCCAGCACAGAGGGCCTGGGGGAGGGTGACATCCCTCTGGGGAGTAAGGGGACTGGTGGACCAGGGATCTGCTGCTCCTTATCGGTGCCTGGAGGTGATGTCAAAGCAGGTGATCATCATGAGATGGTTCTTGCAGAAGTTGATGCGGCTCTCCAGGCGCTCGGTGACGCACTCCAGGGCCTCCAGGTACTCCAGCTCCAGCAGCTGCTCCAAGTCGACTGCAAAAGAGGAAGGGTCTGGAGACTCTGGCAGGCAGGAAGAGCCATCCCATCTGCTCAGCGCAGACCACAGGGCTGCCCGTGTCTGCCCCTCTGTCCCCAGATCTGATTTCTTCACCTGTCTCCAGTGGCCTGGTGTCCTTCCTACCTAATCCTTGGCCTCTCAGCCAGTGGATTGAAGCACTGTTTACCAGTTTTTAGATCTTTAACATTTTGTTGAGATTATTCTGAGAAATAAGGCAAAAATCTAGCTGCCCCCACCTCTGGCATCTCCACTACAGCATCTGTGAAAGATGACACCATTATTCTCCACTAACCATGAAGAATGCAGATCTTGAAGCTGCTGTGGGACAAATCCCTCCCTTGTGATCTAATGTGATAAATCTCTCTGCCTCCTTAGATAAAGGCTGTTTCTGCCTTCTATTCCTACATGAGCACTTTGTATCCACCTCTCAGGCTGAGAAACCTGACCTGTCTCTGGTCTTCTTAGGCAGTCTCATGTACTTGAATGTCATTCAGGAAATATGATAAATAGATCTAAATTGATAGGTGAGCTTTCTTAAGCTCAGAAGACAAGCTGACACTTAGGAACAGGATGCTGACACTCAGGCCTACAGGGGGTGAAAAGTTTGAGTCCTGCAGTTTCTGAAGAGCAGGTTTCTGCAGTCAACCCCACCTGGACTCAGTTTTCCTACTATGTCCATGGTGGCTGGGCAGAGGGGTGGGCTGCCTGGTACTAACTCCAGAGGTGCTGCAAGGAGTCCCCATATGGGGAGGACAGCGGGGAGGGCAACCACGGCCGGTGGAGTGGCCATGGAATCCAAAGCAGGAGACTTGCGTTTGATTCCCAGCTGCTCCATACTAGCTCTGTGACCTTAACTTCTGCAGGTGCCATGTCCTTAAAAGTAACATGAGGTTATAATTCCTAACCTGCCTATCCTATCTACCTTGAGTTGTTGAGAAGTATAAAATCAAAAAAGAGATAACGAATGAGAACATGGTCTGAAAACATTTGAAAACCATGTCATGCTACAGGACTATCAGGGACTGTAACAGAAGCAAACTGCTTTATACAGAGGGCATCCCTGAGAGGGAGACTGTGAGGACACTCACTCAAGGTTACAGTTAATAAGGACTACAGCTGGAGGGAGACCCAGTGTAACAGGCTGAATGTCCCTCTAATACTGAAGAAACAACACCTCACTACACCATAACCCCCTCAGACCTCATCACTGGACCACCTCAAAAGTGGCATCAAATCTAAAAATTAAAAATAAAAATGGACACAGCACATCTATTTCTTTGCCAATACCCTGCCAGCCCAACAACAGGAATTGTCAGCATGCAGCCTCCATAGTTTTTAATTTTTTTTCCCCATTCTTATTTTCCATTCATCTTAGAAAAACAATCTGTGCTTCTCCTTTCATGTGGCCTTCTGTTCATTCTCTTTCTTAGCATCAACAATACCTGATTCTTGACATATATGAAGGCAAGAAGGAATGTCTTCAGATGTTTCTTGGAAACATCTGAAACACAGGTGTACTGAGGTGTAAGCCTGCTCCTTTCGTGGGAGAAAATGTGCTTTGTAAGATGAGGATCATTTTCAAGCCTGCCTTGGGCATAAACAGTTCTTGAAAAATAAAATGTTAATGAAAATGTTAAAAATGAAGGGGCTGTGGGGGGACTGGGTTTGTGGCTCAGTGGTGGAGTGCTCGTCTAGCATGTACTAGGCCCTGGGTTTGATTCTCAGCACCACATAGAAATAAATAAAGGCATTGTGTCCAACCACAATGAAACATTTTTTTTTTTAAATGAAGGGACAGTCTCAAGGGATGCCCCGGGATCTCAAAATGTCCAGAGATTTATGGGGAAAAAAAAAGAAAAAAAAAAAGAAAAGGCAGCCACATGTGTGAGAGAAATAAGCACTAGGCTCCATGTTTGTGCCCTAGTCAGACATTAGCTAATGTTCTGTCTTGTCTGCTCCATAATACCTTCGATAAAAATACCTTTGAAGGAGGAAAATCTCTAATAGAGGACTTCATTTTCCGTATCATGCCTGCAGGCACAGGCTGTGATTGTGGGACTGTGGGCCTAGCCACAGATGCTGCATCCCCGAAGCAAAGGATGCTCTGTGTATTGCGTATGGTCACTAGAACCCACTGATGTACTCGGGAGACATGGTACTACTCCATTTATATGGAAAAGAAACCTGTCACAAGTGGCAGGTGCTGGGAAGAGCCAGGCGTCTGGCAAATCCTGGCACTTTCTTTTTCACCAAAAATCATTTCACCCAATATTTTAAAACAACCAGCTTCTCTGGCACACAAATCTACGCCTCAGACCTAACTCGTGGGCTCTCCTCACTGCCATGAAACATTAGAAGAGGGGGACATGCAGGGGTGGGGTGTTTTGAGAGGGGACAGAGGCAGCTGAGGGCTGSAGAAAAGAGCCAGATGGGAAACAGGGAGAGAATTTTAATGACAGTAGCRTATTTTATYCCCCAGATTGTGGGATTGCTTCCCACATCARTGTAGTAGTTGGGACCAGATTTAAGTTTTATTTCRCASTAAATGGAATGGTTAGGAACAAATAAATAAGAGACAATTGAATCCRCCTCTCAAAGAGAACAAAATTSCTCTGAATCATTATTAGATGGTTACWGTCATCYRGGGCTTTCTATTAAATGGAAATAACACCMGGCTGCTCCTCTKGCTTTCTGGGTCCTCCGTGAGGCTTTACYAYGGTCGTACAYTCTACCCTATCAAGAGCTCTATAAATTCATGTCTATTTCAGGCTAGATAAGCAGTGTGATTTTGTGGCCTAGGAGATTTGTAAAACAGCCTTCATGTCTGGGTGATCTGCCACATGCAGGGGGGGAAAATCTCATTTTCAAGTGCTTTGGACTGAAACACATAAGAAATAATCTYGYAAGAGCAAKATWCRCCACTCCTTTGCTGTTCCCAGCCCYTCCCACCTGCCCCRGGRGAGTAGGATTGTTCMCTCAGAGCAACCGTCTCYATCTGCCCCTAGATGAAGTGTGCCGAGGTCACCCTGGGTYAGGTGCCAGGCCTCTGTCACTGGGRAACCTGTTAGCCACAGTGATAGAAATGAACCAKGGGCCTTACATTCACGGAGCCACTTGTTGGGGTCCAGCATCAGGTACTGTTTGGTCATCTCCAGCTCCTTCATCAGCCACTCGTASKTGGCTCTGACCTCTGCRATCCTCTGCTGGCGATGCTCCAGAATTTTCAGTTTTGCGTTAAAGCACATGACCTCCTGCACAGYGAMGGAGAAGRARAGGGGCAGTGTAKWGAAAAGAAAAAGAGATCSTTCTGCTCCTGTCCAGTCCACATRACCTCTTCYAGAGARGAACACTTCTAAAGACCATYSATGAGAAAGGAGMTGGTCCCTGGGAAGTCTGGGAGGGACTTCAGAGACCTCAGTGGGATTTCTGCCTTGATAAACCAGACAGCTCAGCCATGGGGGAGACTGTTGCAGGCTGTTATTAAATGTAGAAAGCAGATGGTGTTCCAACTGGGCAAATGCTGGTCTGCATGAGTATGAATCCTCAAGACAAGGAGCCAGAAAAGCCCCCCAGACCACTGTGGCCCCCAGCACGTGAGGCTTTAAGGCATTTCAGGAGAGGACACAGAGTTCCCTCCAAAGTGTCTATCCCACTTTATGGTCCCATGGTCACCCACCTGCCCACAAGAGAAGCAGGTCCCTTCTCAGGGCAGGACCCATGGGGAACCACGCCCACTCCAGGAAATGGACTCTCCTTGCTTGCGCCACAGAGTCGCCACTGCAAGCTCTCTCCACATCATCGATTTCATACACTTTGATCTCAAATGGTTTCCTGAGGCCCCTCTGGGTACTCCACAAGGGGCCATCCACCCAGCGGACTCCTGTGCTRGTGGTGGGTTTTCTCACAGGGGAGGAGGAATCGAGGGACAATGCTAGGATGAGCCAACGTCTCTGAGAACCTAGGGAGAGGAATAAGCCACGTTTGATCCTTTTGCACTTCAAACTTTGATATCTTTCTTTGATGCAAGGAATGGGGTCATGGCAGGGAACCTGTGGTCACCTGCAGAACTGCACTGAAATTCTCTGACCTCCCACCCCTGACCCCAGCACTCACTCCTGGGGCTTCACCTGGAGAAGCCCAGAAAAATCCCTGCTCTACTCTTAGAACCCCCAACATGCAGCCTAGAACTGTGAACCGCCCTGGTGTGTGCTCGGCACGGGGACATGTGCCACAATGAAATGAAAGATACATCCATGTTGGGGAAAAAAGGTTCCAGTGTTTGATAGTGTGGTTATAGGATTTCCAGAAAATACTGTGTATTTGTTTATAACAACAGCACTACAGTAAGCACAGACTGCATGCCAGAAACTAGTCACCATGCCTGATGCACTATGACAAACTATTAGCTGACCCCCAATATCTGTCCTATTTTGTGTGTGTGTGTGTGTGTGTGTGTGTGTGTGTGTGTGTGTGTGGTTCTGGGGATTGAACCCAGGGCATTGCATATGCTAGGCAACTCTCCACCACTGAGCTATCTGTGAAGCACCATCTTCTTTTTCTTCCTCATCAAGAGACACTCTGATTTCAGCAGGGAACATGGCCAAATCCAGTGCAGACCATAGTCCAGCATGATTTTGACCAATAGGACATAAGTAGAAGTGGTATGTATAGCTGCTAGAAACAATCAGCAAAAAGAAGAAAAATAAGACAGGTATCCTAGTCTCCCAGCACTCTGGAGACTACCACATGACACTAAATCTCTATATTGCTGTATGGGGTTTTCTGTCGTAGACAAACCTATCCTTACCAATATATACAGAGTATCTCATTTAATTCTCACAGAAGAGGAAACTAAGGTATGAAGACCATTAGTAGCTTACCCAAGATCTTGGTGTTTCTTTGTTGAAAAAAAATCCATTGCTCATATTTTCTCTCTCTCTCTCTCTCTCTCTCTCTCTCTCTCTCTCTCTCTCTCACACACACACACACACACACACACACACACACACGCACACACAAAAACAAAATCAGGTAACAAATTATTTCTCCAAAGGATGTAATGGTTTGGATCATAAATGCCCCCCAAAGGCCATGAGTGGTAGGTTTGGTCCTCAGCAGGTTATGCTATTGGACATGGTAGAACTTTTAGGAGGTGGGACCTAGTGGGAGAAAGTTAGGTCACTGGGCATGTGCATTTAAAGGGGATGTTGAAACCTCGGTCCCTTTGCCCACTCCCTCTCTTTGCTTCCTGGCCTACATGAGGTGATAGCTTTGATCCACCACTGGCTCCCAACAGGCTGTGGTGTCTTGCTGCAGGCCCAAAGCAACAGGGTCAAACCTTGAAACAATGAGCCAAAATACATCTTTCCTTCTTTTTTACGTTATTTATTTCAGGTATTTTGTCATAGCAATGTAAATCTGACTGACAAGATGTGTCGGGACTAAATATCACAGGATTTGGTACATATGAGCCAAAATCAGCATTTGAGAGGAGATACTCATTGAAGATAAATATCCTTTTGATTGCTTGTCTTCAGATCACTTATGTCTATTTTCAGAGACGGAAAACGAATAAGAAGTGACTTGGGAATGGTGAACAGAGATGATCAGCTCCTTTGTGTCCTTAGGGGCAGGTCTCTAAAAAGAAATAACAAGCACAGGAGTTATAACAAGTTATAACAAGGCCCAGAGTTCCCTCTGACCCAAGCATCATCTTCCTTATGACCAGAGTCATAAGTGGGTGAGCTGTGGCCTCCTGGCCTTCAAAGCACAGGGTGTGATATTTTCACCCATGAATGAAAGGGAACTTGCCTCTTGCTTTTGAGAAGTAGAGGGTTTGATCCATTTCCCTGGTTTCTCTGCCTGTGGGAAGTTTTGTTGTCTCTGCTCAATCTGTTAAAGGCTGGACCGTGATCCTGAGTACTCCTTCAGAAGGGATAGGCACATCAGGGGCTCTCTCCTGGGCAGGAGGGTGTTGGGAAAGCTGACATAATCCCAATAGTTTTTCATCCTGAGGCTGAAGGGGGCCTGATCCACTGTGTCTCTGAATTTCTGACTCCCCCTGCTCCAGACTGACTAAAGAAGGTGAAGTTTGCCTGAAGCCTTTGTAGCTGCTCCTTAGGATAGAAAGAATACAGAGCCCCATATAAAGTCAAATCTGAGAAAAAATGAGAATGAGAGGGCGTGAAGTGCTGGAAATCTGAAGGCTGCGAGGCCTGGCAGTTTTCCTGGAGGACCTGGAGATGCCCATATGTGTCAGTGAACTGGTGTAGCTGGAGGACGTCATGTGAGGTTACAGCAATCAGGCACTTTGGACTTGCCAGTCTCCAGAAGGGTGGGAAGTGGATTTCTATTGTTAATAAATTACCCAGTCTAAGATGCTTTGTTATAGCTGCAGGAAGGGACCCAGGCATATGGGAGTGCCTCTATTTCTCTATTTCTTCCACCTGCCCTCCTGTTCTCTGGGATATCAGAGATGGTTCTGAATAATCTTCTATTCCCACAAATTATGAGATCAAATTGTTATTCCAAAGATTAATAATAAATAAAAGAGGCCATGTTTAAAACAAGATGGAGAGGAAAAAAAACAAAAACAAAACCAAAGACGGATGCCTATGGGGAAGGGTAAGACCTCAGACCAAGGCCTGGGTCACTGTGCCTCCCTTTCCTGTTCAGGGTTGATACTCGTGCACTTTGAGCCAGTTTAGATGGGGACTCACTTGCCTAGAGCCAATGCAGGTGAGGACTTGCTCCCCTTGACCACGTGTAGACAGAGATTCTCCCCTTGAGACATTGTACGCTTGATTCCATTTGGGCAGATTTCTTTGGCCAGAAAGTACCCCTTTCCCAGTCTATAGGCCCGTCCCTGAGGTGTGTGGAGAGGCTATGTGTCAGCTGTTGGACAAAGCACCTCTGGAGAGGCATTGGAGATTCCAGAGTGTTCTGTGGCATCATCCCCTTAATCCCATGTTCAGGGAAGTGAGAGGGTAGCATAGTGGCCTGCAGCAGTGTCTGGGTGCTTCACCACATGCCATTCGGTCTCTGCACCCAGAATCCCCTCTTGCTTCCTTCCAGAGGTCCTAGGGAGAAAGCACATGGGCTTCAGGAACTGGAGGTGTTAAACCATCTCAGCGTTGCTACTGACTTCATAGCCAAGTGCACCCATGTTGAATTGCTCTTTTCTTTTGGTTCTAGGGACACTGAAGTTTGTAAAGTGAAGTGAGCCCAAATAAAGAGTTGGAAACCCTCAGGTCAGTTGTAGGGATGATGGGATGGATGTTTGGGTCAGTGCGACTCCACAACTCAGAGGAGTTTATGGGTAGCATTACAGAAAGCCAGAAGTGACAAACACCTTCACAGACTCTGAACAGAAGCAGGTCTCACTGATCAGTGAGAGCAAGATGGCGGCCCTGAGGGCCACCATGCATAGGGTGCTGGGAAGCCCCATGGAAGTGAACCTGAAGATGGATCAACAGAGTTTGCTCCAATCAAACAAAGGAGAGAAGAAAGTTTGTTGATGCTGTTTTTTTTTTATTTCTTTTAGTTGTAGTAGGATACAATACCTTTATTTTGTTTATTCATTTTTATGTGGTGCTGAGGATCAAACCCAGGGCCTCACAGGTGCAAGGCAAGCTCTACCACTGAGCCACAACCCCAGCTCTGCTCTTGTTATTTTTAATGAATATAGCTTCAGGAACTAGGAGATGGTCTAGGATTCATGTCCTCAGGGATCCAAAATGAGAAGCATGGAGTATGCCACAGAAAGAAATTAGGACTTAATTTTCCAAATGTGGTGAAGTTCATGAATCTACAGACTTAACCAGCTTAGCAAACCTTGGTAGGAGAAACTCAAAGTCCATGCCCAGACACATGGATCATTTACAAACCAGGGATTAATGAAAGCACTTGAAATTAACCAGAAGAAAACAATACCATATTGGCTGGCATGGAACCATTTAAACGACTGTGGAATTCTTATCAGAAATTAGGTAAGAGAGAAGGTAGCAAAGTAACATTTTTAAATTGCCCAAAGGAAAAACATAGGAAAACCAAAATCTCATATATCAAAAATGTTCCTCAGAAAGGAAGGAAAAATAATTATATCTTCATATAAAAGAAAGCTAAGAGCCAGCTGACTTGTTAACAAAAATAATGGTGGTTCTTCAGACAGAGAGAAAATTATGCTGGAAGGAACTTGGGCATCAGGGATAAAGAGAAAAATTTTTTAAAAAATAACAAATATGTAGATAAATAGAAGATGATATTTTTCTCCTTTTGAGCTCTTTAAGATATGTTTTGACCATTGAAAGGAAAAACTGAGAACATATTTGGAGCTGAACAAAAATTAAAATACATCACATCAAGTTTATGCATGCAATGAAAACATTGCTTACAGATTCGTAGCATCAAATGCTTATGTTAGACAAATAGAAAGTTCTCAAATCCATAATCTAAACTTCTACTTTCAGAAACAGATAATGATGATCAAAATAAACCCAAAACCAGCACAAGGAGAAAAAATAAACATGAAGACTAATATCAGTGACACTCTACAAACCTGTACAATGTTAATGAAATGGATGATTTCTGGAGAAGCAGGAGTTACCATAAGAACATGAACATTTAGATGGCTGGGTGACCATCAGGGAAATTAAGTTCCTCAAAGGAAAAGTTCCTAAAAGATCTTCAGGTATAGAAGATATCACTGGAGAATTCTACCACATTTGAAGATGCATTAATACTAACTGTATACAAACATTTCCAGGAAGTAGAAGAACAGGGAACAATTCACAATGTATTTCATGAAGCAGGTATTACGGGGCCATGAAACCAGGAAAGATGGTGCCAGCATAAAATCACAAAAGAAACCCAAAACTGACAGACCCAAGTCCATTGTGAATGTAGGTACAAATATTCCTACATCAGGTACTTTATGGACAAGCTGAGAAAGTCAATATG